CGTTGGTTTTTTTCACTATACAATCGTTTGCGGAAGCAGAATTATAAGTGGAAGTAGACTTCCACCGTTTCTTAATTTGCGTCACACTTCACTTGCTAGCTGAAGAGGTAATACAGTGTCGAAGTTCTGAACCATTCAAAAGCTCTACTCCTTGCTAAAGTAGCAAAGCTTATTAGAAAATTACAAAATGCCTTCAGAACGCATCTTTTCGTAGAACAGTTTTACCTTTTGCGCCCATGAATTCCACGCTGAGGTGGCTGCCAGGAGCAACTCAGGTATAAGGTTTCCCGTACCCGTACGAGTCGATGTGACCCAGTGGTCCGGAAAAGTTCATAACTACACCTATTAAATTTCATTTGCTTATTCTTCAAAACTGACTCAACCTTGCTTGACCAACATCTTGATTACGAATACGACATTCATTATCAGCGCGGCTGCGAATAGAGGGCTAATGCCGTTTGGACTCCAGCAATTTCGGCACCGAGCTCATTTTTAAATTGCCTAAGTCACCAAATCCGCTAAAAACTTGTAGGGGTAGTTATATTTTAATTTTATTTTTTATATAGGGGTAGTTTAACATCCTGATTACGAATATGACATTCCGCTGGCGCTAATGGATGACACTACGATTATCTGCGCTCTGCTAAGGCTGAGCCCAGGAGGTAATCGTAGTGTCATCTCTTGGCGCCAGCGCCAAGAATGAGTGTCATAATTGTAATCACGATGTAAATAACCCTTGTGTACATGTTTTCAGCGGGTTTGGTGACTTAGGCAATTTAAAAATGAGCTCGGTGCCGAAATTGCTGGAGTCCAAACGGCATTAGCCCGAATAGAGTACGCTTCATTATCTGCGCTCTGCTGAGGCTGCGCCTCAGAAGGTAGTCGTAGTGTCCCCCATTCAGTGCCTAGCGCCAAGAATGAATGTCATATCAACCAGGATGTTAACTAACTCTTGTACTTGTACTTGTATACAAGTTTTCAGCGGATTTGGTGATCTATGCACTTCATAAATGAGCCAGCAGCCAAAACTGAGCGCGTCTAAACAACATCAGCCCATTATTTCTTCGAATTGACATCTACAGTTCCTTTTTTCTTCAGATTCTGCATTACTCCCAATTCCGCGGTTCATCAAATCGATAAGCATACTTTCTTTTAACCGCAATTTCCTCATTTGTTTGAAGTCGTCATGCATAAATGCGGCTTCAGGACTGTTACACAACAAAGCAGCCCCAGTGCCCCCTGCAGCACATTACGGCCATTTTCAAGGAACAAACGCTTGAGAGAAACGCTACTTCGAAGACAGGTGAAGCGCGGCCAGGAGCCTCTAATTGAACAACACCATGATTATTTCAATGCAAAGCTCGCGATCATTCGCCATTACAGACAGTGGAGGAGTTCCCATATAGACGACATGATTCTGAGCAACTCGATAGTGAAGAAAAAAAGCAGAAAAAAGTGCCATGGTCTAAAGAGAAACACTTCGATACCAGTTTGTATGTACTCAGGCCTCAGAATACCTCCATCTTTGACCAGTACGCCCTCACTCTCGCGCAGCGTGGTTCCACGGTTAAGAACTCTACGACCGTATAAGTGACGATTCTGATGCTCCTGCAGCTTCGTTCTTCACTGAACAGAGGGTAGAATCTGGAGGCGCGGCCACTGGTAAGTAGGTGTCCCTGAACCTACATTGCGCTATAGAGCCCCTGCCTCATCATTTTTGCCGCGAAACCGGTACGTTGTTCGTCGCGAGGCATACTACCCTCCCGACGCCACATTTCCAGCTTCAGTTCAGGATCGCGGGCCGTACCTTCAAGGACAGCGCACCTTAGACGTAATTCCCATTAGTAACTCACTTTATAACCAAACCACGCTTTGATTGTGTAAGCCGGTTTCTGAGCGCACATCGCCCACGTTCCACATACCACAGTCGTTCTCGATCATCTTGCGTTCAGCAAAAAAAAATCATGCCAGCGATGACGATGTACTAAGCTTACTTAGCACCCCACCGTTGTTTCCAGCTAATCTTACCAACGCCTCACACATTCCACTTGAAAATCCCTTTTGGTGGAAACGGTGATGCAGTAGAGTCGCAAAAACAACGTTTACATCTAGACTCCCAACCATTTATGGACACTGTGAATAAACCATAAGAGAGAATGCAGACTCGCTGATACAACGTATAGTATGTTAACAAAGTTATGCATGATAAGAGAATAAACAATTAAACCAGAACCGTAAGAACCGTGGGTCTCTCTTTCTTGCCTTTGAAAAGGGCAGAAAGTGAGGTGTTGGCGACTTTAACAATCTTGAAACGAACACCGGGAATATCTCCGACAGCGTGACCAGATCGTCCGAAACCAGATACGAGCACCTCGTCGTTCTCCTGAAAGAACAGCATAAAATACAACCCCAAAGCAGCAAAAAAAAACGTGCTACAATATCTTCACGGTGAATGTTCAAACTTTATTGAGACGGATGTTAAATACACATCCACCTCACCCAAAAAAGTTCAATCGTTCGTTATCGCTCAATTTGACGGCTGGCAAAGCTAGAAATGCTAGCAAACACCAGTGCTTTTGATGAGCTTTACCAAATTATGTAAGACTTACACCTACACCATTAGGAACGTACCGGCCGGCCCGACTGTATCCGGCCAAAGAAGGAACGAAACTAGCAAGGAGAATCTTTCAGGTAATAGGACGCTTTTTGAAACTATTTCTCTCATA